GTTAATGAATCCTGCTGCATTAGTTATCTGTGTGTCAGTGGTGGGTTCTGGGAAGTACAGCCTGGTATGAGCATACCAGTGGCCGCTGGGAGCAGCAGCCAACACCAACAGTGTTTCGATGGGCCCACCCGCCCGCCTATGTTTTTTACCTCTTTTTGAGGGAAACAAGCCAATTGTGCATGCACGCACAGTGTACAGCGCCTGTGCAAACTCACTGAGCAGCTGGGGCGTCGCAGGGCGGTTGCGTGCGCAACACACGTGCCCGAAGTGGACGTCCAGCCCTGTCGCAGCATACCGGTTGTGATGGAATCCAGAACCCACCACTGACACACAGGTAACTAATGCAGCAGGATTCATTAACGTCTCTTTATACATATTATAATACATGAAGTAAATATACAATACCAACAGCTGGTTCACAGGCAGAGGAGAGAAAACAATTTTGTTTCAGTTCAGAGTTGAAGACAGACAAGACCAGACTAGACTTGTTTTAGAGCTGAGCACAGAGCTAAACCACGCCCTGACTCCTTGCTTAAGTTTCTGTTTCCAAACAGCCCTCAATGGCTGGCTTAGGTGCTATGCCTATTCATTGGCTGACCTTGTTACCATGTCTCTGACAGTTAATGAATATTCTGACAGACGAATGTGGGTGTTTGATGGTATCTTTGAAGGATGTCAGCCATTCCAATTGCCTTTTGCAATTGACTGATGGTGATTTTGTCAATTCCGATGATGGTGTTCAAGTGGTGCTCCAGTTTTTTGGGAATTGCACCAAGGTGCCTTTGACTATCGATGCCTATCTTCTTGATCCTTCTCCAACTTGATAGTCATCCAGACTGGGGTTTATCAAATCACGGATTATTCAAGCATCAGTGGGATCTCATACACTCTGACCTGATTAAAAAGCAAATTTTGATCACGCGGAAAGCCTTGATTTGCAAAATTTATGAAGCATCTCACCCCAGGGGCTACCGATGATGTACAGAATCCAGAATTATCATATTTAAATAATCATAAGCAATAATAAAATGGTAATGATATGATTTTCCTCTGGCTGCTTAATCCACCAAAGAATTAACATAGCTAATGTTGTCCATTCATATCCTATCCATTTTCCTTCCATCAGAACATTCAGATGAACTCCCGAGTCTTAAGTAAAAACTGTGAAAGAAGCATGTAGTTATATTTTTACACTACTAATCCAATATTTCCTGTGGGGAAAAAAATCAAATGTTTCTGGTTTTTTGGGTGTTTCCCTTTCAACCTCTAGGTCGTGGTACAAGGTATCCCGGAAGTATCTCGTGCTGTCATTCATATTGACGAACAGAGTGGGAAGGAAAAGTACAAATTGTTGGTGGAAGGGGACAACTTGAGAGCTGTCATGGCCACTCATGGGGTCAAAGGAACCAGAACAACATCAAACAACACTTATGAGGTAACACAACACGAGAGGGGATAAACTGGTGGAACACAGCAGTTAAAAAGGGGGTCCTAACGTGTCACATTACTTCTTAGTTCAAATCTTGCTTCTTCTGTGAAGTGATTTTTTTAGTACTAAAGTAAGCCCTTTATTTAAGCGTGGTGCCTTGTCCGTGATATAGGCCTAATATAGGTATTGTAGGGTCTGTGTAAGGATGATAGTAAGATCATATTGCAAATGATTCTGGACATAGTGATGGGGAAAAACAAGACTTGAGTCAACCTTGAGCCTGGTGAGATTCGAACTGCCAACTTGCATGCAGACGGCAGCCAGCAGAAGTAGCCTGCAGTACTGCACTCTAACAACTGCGTCACCGTGGCTCAAATGCAGTGGCCCCCAACCTTTTGGGCACCAGGGACCCGTTCCATGGAGAGAGGCTCCCTGCATCCTACGGATGGGGCTTCGCTTGTTTGCGCAGACTGGTTTCTGGCATGCCAAGGACTGGTGCCGGTCCACAGACCAGAGTTTGTGGCCAGAATGGTTAAGGCACCAAGCTAGAAACTGGGAGACAGTGAGTTCTAGTCTCACTTTAGCCAATTGGGGAATTTGGGCTAATCACACACTCTCAGCCCAATCCACCTCACAGGGGTATGGTTACGGGCAAAATAGGA